AAATTTCATTATACATAGTATATAATCTACATCTAAAATAAATTAAATAAATTACATTACTTATTATTCAGTGTTTATCATAAAATAATATATAATTTTTTTTTAAATTTCATGTACCCCCTAAGATGTCTTCGAGTACCCCCGGGGGTACGCGTACCCCATATTGAACACCACTGCATTAGAGGAGGCCGGCACCCCTTCGCATTTGTAACAGGATAGCTCCTTCTCATATAAATGCCACAAAAATATAATAACAGAAAGGATAAACATTGAAGCGGGCTTTCCTCCGCCTAATTTTTGTTCTCATTTCCGTTTCCACGTTAAATAATTTTATATGACTGTATCCTCACAGCCGGATCATTTTCCAACTGAATGTAGGTTTCTGTTAAACTCTTTCGATTTTGGACAATTTTTTTTGTACATTGCTACTTACGTATTATCTCAGGTCACCCTCCGTACTTGTATTTATTGCCTTCAAATTAATAGTAAATTTGTTTTATTTAACAATTATTCTCTTTGCTAACGATTTTCATGTACGGCTTTAATTTGGAAAAGAGTTACTGAAGTACTTTAAACATTTTTTTTTGTTCCTTGATCTTCGCCTTGGTTATAATCGAATCTCCGACATTGTTATAACTTGTCATAACTGTATACATTTTTATTTATTTAATTCGTCTCTGAAATAACTTTGGCTTGGTACAGAAATAAATTATGTTCGCTCATTTTTCGTTTCAAGTGTAATTTAGGATACACTCACATGACCGCCATTTTCTTCGTTACAGAAATATTCATAAAATTACACTGCACTCTCCTTAACTTACAAGTGTCGATGAACTGTCCACGCGTTGTTAAGGCCAAGTAATTAAAATTCTCGTTTTTTTTTTTTGGGGGGGGGGCTGACACCTCTAGTGAGCTTTATGTACCTCTTGCTAGCTAACTTTAGATCAGTTTTAGCCCAACTTGGGAGCATTGCCCCATTTTGAGTCCTTCCTCTCTGGCTTAGAGTGTATTTTTATACCGGCAGTCAGGATGAGAGCGAATCAGACGTTTGTTATTTCAGGTCCCTAGGTTCAATTCCTGTTTGCTTAATAATGCTATATCGTGTCTGTTTTACATCTCCCAGCTTTATGAAATTCATCCTACTAAAAATAACCAGGGGCTCTGAGAAGAGGTTGTCGATCTTAAGAAACGAGGATGTAGAAAATCCGATCTTGTCATCAAAAAGCTTTAATCACCAATTGAATTTAGAGATTTGTTTAAAACTTACTGGCTGTGAGAAACATTTCTGCCCCTAATAAAACTTAATGAATATCTAACGTTCCCGTTAGAATACCTAGTTTATCATAGGTTTGAATCTTGACGTCCCAGATTCTACCACGTTCCAGTTGGAATATACCAATTTAATGAGAAGAGTTAAACAAACGTTTGCTTTTCATTGGCTGTGATGGCTGTATGCGAAAACATCTGAAAAGGGGCGCGTTATCATCTGCTGCAGATGTAAGGATATATATTTTGTTTACTAGTTTTTATTCAGTTTAATGGGACGTGCCACATTTTATGCTGACCTCATGCTCCTATGTATCATGTATCTTAATTAATAGTCGGAAAGATGTTTCAATAGATTAGGCTCGTGTTCTGTTCTAATATGTATTCTTAAGACTGCTCCAAGCCACGTGTTCCAATGAAGTGTCTGAAACGTGTTATCGTTTCCATTGACGGTTTAGTTAGCCTGCTCCTATTAGGAAAAATAGGTTTACAGTAACATGTCCGTTTGTCCGTGTGATTTTCTCCACTGATTATTTTGGAGCCAGTTGCTTATTACGCGTATCGTGGTATGTCGTCATATATATTTCTCCGTTTTTTATGAAAAATTATAAACATGGCGAAGACGGTAAACTTTGAGGTAATGAGATGATAAAGTTGCGTCATATTGTGATAAATATATATTTGTTTAAATCTTGTAAGTCTAATCACAATAAAATTCCTATTAAATATTAAAATATTACTATAATTAACATTTAAATATTTAAAATATATTAAATACAAAAACAAATAAACAAATATTTGAGGTAATGTCTTGACAGCTATTAGGTAGTAGGAAGGAACACATGTGAAATTATGTACATAAATAAGTTATAATCCTCGATACGTTTCTGCGTCACTACAAAATAATTGAACAGCTGATGTTAGTGTAAATCACGCACTGCTACGCTGTGCATGCTTAAGACATTCTTCGGTTATCTGGGTCGCCTGATTAATGCAAAGTACTGGTAGTATGTTTCACTTCGCACTTGTTTACAGACTGACGGCTGTCATAAATTAACAGTGCTTATACTCTCTTCCAGTGAGGAAAATGCTGGTTAATATGAACTCGACACAATATATATATGCGAAATCGGGTGTCTGAAATTACCCAGTGACCCTGAAATTAATACTAACTTGTTAAGATTGTGAAGAAGAGGGGTTAGACACTAACAGTTTGTTCTTCGTATTGTAGGCCTGAATGAATCATTCTTAAATGTGCTTGGAATGTTTGTATGATGACTGATGCTTCTGGAATGCAGAACAAAACCTATTTTTCTTTCAGTGCTGACAGATCAGAATTAATTGATTTTTTAAATTTTTTGTCTAATTTTTAAACTGAAACTACATTCACTCCCCGACCAGCCAAGTGACGAGCCAGGGTTGGAATCCTTAACTCAGGACAGGGGACAAATAATGTGTTGCTTGGTCAGGGCTACTGAGCATCTCGCTGGGCGGTGGTAGATGAGTATGGAACATTGGTGGAATGATAATAGCAGAGGAGAACAGATATGTCATTATCTTTGTTGCGTTTTTGTTAGTTTAGGCAGATATATTGTTATATTTGCTTGATAAACATTTGGCATAAGTAATTCATGGAAGGAAGAGACACGCCTCTTAGTGACAAATGCAAGCCAGCGGTACGCTTACACCACTTTTCGGTTTGGGATGTAGAAAATTTGAAGCGCTTGTTTTTTTATTGTTGGACAGACTGTACGAAGATCTTTGCTATTCTTTCTGTGCAGATTTTGAGCATTTGAATGGCAGTACTCTCACGTTTTGCCATTAGCTTCTTTCTATTTTCGTCAGACAAACTTAGTAAGCCTCGTCTTCCTACCGTCGACATTAAGCATAAAAATAAAGCTATGGCTCTGTTGTTTAACATTAATCGCGTTTATAACTATTTGGGTAAAGGTCCTTGAAGATCCAGCGTCTCGTACTGGTGGTGGATTCGCTTGCCAGCTGGACATCTTGCAGATCTATTCCTGACTCCTGACGTCACTGGTACGTAGGCAGGAAGATACGTTGGGTGCGTATTGCAGTTTTACGCGGCGTATCCACATCATATGAATCAATCTAATTTTAAGAGGAAGGGGGGACTACATCACAGACCGTGTCCATTGACCTTTGTGTCACGAAATTTAAACTTGTGACATTTTACGAAATTCTCATTTCTAATCACTCAAAGCTGCAAGAAGCTTAATGGGAACAGAAAAATAGTCAAAATAAATTTCATATTTGTGAAACAGTATTTATAATGTATTTTCAGGCTTTACGGAACCAAAAAGCAGATCCCTTCCTGAGAAGCTTATAGTCGCTCAGTGCCATGTTGAATCCACCAGTGACAAATGCAATCCTAAGCCATATGATTCTTTTCTGCATCCTCGCCCGAATTTCTTTAGGACCCATTTTAATATCCTCAAACCATGCCTAGGTCTCCCAAATAGCATTTTCCCAAAGGTTTTCAGACTATAATTTTTATGCATTTGTCATAATTTTTGAGATATTCCCGCAGCACCCAGTTCAACGAAAATATCGGTATTTGGGAATGGGTGGTGTCTACCGATTATCTTCACAGCTTTTCGGTTTGTTATTTATTGATCATCGTGTAATTCGACGCTTTATCGCTTCAGATGCTGGCAGCGTTGTTAAATAAACAAATAATTAATGAATAATGAATATTTTTTATAAAAACGAGCTGTTTGTTACCGTGTTCCAGGTGCCGTGGAACAAGAGTGGCCTAAGTTCCTCGTACAGCGGCAGCAGCAGCTATGGAAGTGCCCGGAAGCCTGACAATGCCTTCTCATCGTCTACCTCGCAGGTAACACCACTGTTTCGGGGCGACATGCAAACGACATTTCTCGCCCGGTTACAACAAACTGGAACAACGTGTATGGTGACACAACCCTTATTTACCCTGATGATGGAGGCATTAAACCCCTCTGAAACGTCGGCCAGTGTCTACCAGACTGCACGGTTTTAGAATTACGAGAAAATTAAGTTGGATTAATGCTTACTAACAAGCAGTTCGAAATCCAAAAAAACGTGGACTTGTGCTGCGAAAAATATTTTGACCTGAGAGAGATTGGAGAAAATTTCTTAATGGGGAGGTTCGCGAAACTAATTCTTTACGAAATATTATTAGAATTGCGTGATCAAGGAGGATGGGATGCACAGAACGTGTAGCATGCATGAGGGATATAAGAAATGCACAGTTTTGGTCGGAACAGCCAAAAGGTAGAGACAATTTGGAAAACCCAGGTTTCTTATAAGGATAAAATTTAAATGTATGTTGAGGATACATGTCGGGTGAAACAGTTCGGGATTCACGCATTTCATTCTGAAATTAAGTTGATATTTCTACACTTTTACTTTTGTTGCCCATCTCTAAACCCAGCAGCGACGGAACTCTCGTATTAACATCCATTACCGTTTCAGGAACAAACAAGTCTCTTCCTTCGAAACAAAAGGTCTTAGAAAAAGTGGCACTGGACAGATTTATCTTGGAGTTTCTTCGCTTATTCCGATAATGATTCCAAATTCAACTGCCATCACCGTCGTCTTCAGGTAGTGGCCAAACAGACCCGTTCAGGTTCCAATGCCCGACTCCTCGCACAGTCAGAGGAGTCAAAGCAGTACACAGCTCGAGTAATTAGTTACACAGACTTTCTGTTTAGTTGCTGTGTCATACAGCGGTGTGATGTAATTTAAACCCACTTTTGTAAGCTCATCCATTAGCCCGGCATGGCGTTTGAACTATGACTGGGTCCGTCATTCACAACAGCTGTCGTATCCTGCGTAACCCCTTCTTCTTCGCTTGACAATCGACATTGACCCTAGTTTGTGTTTAACTCTAATCGTTTGTCAGGGTTACTGTTTCTAAGATGTCAACACGAAGACAAGGTTGCCGCTGTGTTGCTTAAAGTTTGCATGCGTTATTTACATGGAATAAATAAAATAAAAACTCACTAGACCAGACTAATATCAGATACCAGAAATATCGACACGTTGAATACTATTGATTTCCTTGTTTATATCAGGATTAGGTCTTGGTGGATATTATCACAGTTTTATTGAAAATTGTCTTAAATCCTGATATAAGGGGATAACATATCTTAGTTCACTGTGGTTGCCTAGCGAATGATGTTAACATTGTCTATTGGTCGCAGTTGAATAGCCCCCATCCCTAACTCCTCGAAACTTTTCCACAGAACATTAGAGACAGATCGTTTATCTGAAACGGTGTGCGATTTTCAGACTGCCATACGAGAGCGACAAAGCCCATCAATTCGGTATCTTCGTCAGGACCCTTTAAAATTGCTTTGATATTTCTGCATGAACAAATTGTCTTTATTCGACAGCGTTCCACGAAATTACGTCTCGCCATAACAGTTTTAGTGTCTTCACGATTTCTATCATTAAGATGCTAACAATATTACAAGTAATTTTTTTAAAATATAAAATATTTCTGTATAATGAACTTTTCCACAGAACACTAGAGATAGATCGTTTATCTGAAACGGTGTGCGCTTTTCAGACTGCCATACGAGAGCGACAGAGCCCATTAATTCAGTATCTTCGTCAGGACCCTTTAAAATTGCTTTGATATTTCTGCATGAAGAAATTGTCTTTATTCGGCAGCGTTCCACGAAATTACGTCTCGCAATAACAGTTTTAGTGTCTTCACGATTTCAATCATTAGGATGCTAACAATATTACAAGTAATTGTTTTAAAATATAAAATATTTCTGTATAAGTCGAGGCAATTGTAGGAATATTCATTTCAGAATATGGGCAATTCTTAGTTGACAAAGGTCTCCTTGCGTATGAGATGTCTCTTTCTGACATTCTATGAAAGTATCGTGCATATGCAGTGGTGTCCCTGTACATTTGTTATCGGCAAGTAGCTGGATCGTATTGTGGTATCCCTGTACAATTGTTATCGGCAAGTAGCTGGATCGTATTTCTGTTGAGATGCCTCCTATGCTGACTGAGGGAATTCGTGAGTTTTCTCAGCCTCTTATTTACAGAAAAGGCTCTCAAACGACGTCTGCTTAAGAAACTGGGACATTCCATGCGACTAATTTGTTAATCGCCTCAGCTTCAAAGGAACTTGGTGACTGTTTTAAGAACCCCATTCATGGCAACGAGCAATTAATGACCTCGAAGCCCACGGCTACCGCCCAATTTAACATCACACTGCCCTTTTTATGTGACAGACACTTTGTTTTTAACTGAGGAATATTAATGTATTATGCCAATGTATATTCATGTATCAAGCTAACCCGCCGATATGTTTGCTCGCAGTACGATGGTGGCGGCAGTGGCTATGGACGTCGGCTCAGCGCTGGAGGAGACACTTCCAGCACGGGAAAAAGTAGCCACTTATCTGCATCCAGTTACCGGCTGCCTTACCAAAGCTCCAGCTACAATAGGGGCTCGACAAGCAGTTACCTGAACGCCGCAAAGAACAGTGACTCGAGGTCCGCCGCGACGGAGAAGAGAGACGGCAAAGAGAGCGAGCGACTGTCGCTCCGAGACAGATACTCTTCCGGTACGTATCCGGGCAGGACGAGGGATAAGGACGACGGAGACGCGGGGAGTGTTCACCGTGTTCTGGGGAGGAGCATCAGTATCAAGTCGAGCAGGGACACCAGCCCCGAAACGACGCCTTCCTCAGCAGACGTGGGAGTGAAAGCGGATCGCGTGGGATACAGTAGTAGTTCCTTGTCTCCATACCGCCTTTATAGTCGGGGTACATACAGTCGATCCACAAGCAGAGATTCCGCCCCCGACGCGGCTTCCTCGACGGCATCAACATCTGCTTCAACTCCTGTCTACACGCCATCATCGCTCAGGTTTGGAAGTTCCTCCAGGTTCGGTTCAAACATCACCCGAAGCCCTGTCAGTGAAAAGCCGCCTACAGTCTTCGGACTCTCTACTCTGGGTTACAGTGGTAGGTCTATTAGTAGGCACAATTCCCAGCAGGATACGGAGGAATCTTCTTCTGCCTGTACACCAACTGCTGAAGCTGTTGATAATTGCAAGATTGCAGTGGAGTTGGAAGGCAAACACAGCAGTAAAAATACAGACGAGGAAGAAGTAACCCAGACCACATTTATTACTGTTGTAACACGAGGAACGTCGCCAACACCTCCGTCTATACTCAGACCACATTTATTACTGTTGTAACGCGAGGAACGTCGCCAACACCTCCGTCTACGTCGTCGTACGTGAGAACCAGACGTTCAGATTTGGCTAGAGTTATAGAAAAGACAATAGAAAAGCCAAAAACAAGGCCTGAAATGTTGGACAAAGAGATTCAGTCAGACCGCGTGGATGATACAGCAAGATTGTCCCGTTACGGGGTCTCTTCAAGGTGGTCGACGTACCTGGACAGGTACCCCAGTGCGGCCAGCAGCTACTCTCCTGTCTCTAGGTACACATCTCGGTATGGCTACTTGTCTTCAAGAAGCGACGACAAGGAAGCAGCTGCGAAGTCTTTAGCTACCCAAGAGTCCTCGACAAGTCAAACTCCTGAAAGCAATACCACTGCAATAATTGCAAATAAAGATGTTACCAAAGACATGGCATTACCCAGTCAGAAACTTCAATCTAGTCCTCTAGGTTCCTCTGAAAGGAACGTAGGCAGTGGTATCACCAGCACACAGAAGTCGGAAAGTGATAAACCAATAGTTGTAGAGAGTAACGGGATGCCTGATGGTGTATCAACTGTAGGTCACCGTAATCACAAAGACACAAAAGCAAAGGCCGTTTGTAAAGAAGATGAGACGAAATCAACACAATCGCTTTCAAAAAATTATGGATCGATGAATGGACCAGAAGGTGCCAATTTGACTCAAGTCCAATCAGTCATGAATGCGAGTGCTAAATGTCCAGGACAAAGTACAGGCACCACTCCTTCGTCTTCAGCGTCTATTCTGACTGTGGGAGCATCAGTAGGAACTCCATCCATTGTTTCAGATAATGCAAAGGAGAGAGGTTTAGGTTTGGTTCGAGCAAAATCTGTTAAAGATACTGCCACAAAACCTCCTCCTGCAACTAGCACCCTTCAGCGAGGTGACGTATTCACAGATGCAACATCAGCCACCCTTTCTTCAGATGACTTACCTGATAAGTCATCTTTATTTGAAGAAAATAAAAGTGCATCCGATGCAAGTGCGAGATGTTCAGATTTAACTCGAGTAAAGTCTTTAAAGAATATGACTGGAAAACTCCCAAGCCAGTTGAACAGTGAGACTTCAGTTGGAATGAAATCAAAGTCTTTGTCACCTGCATCCCTTCTGTCAGAAGAAATGTTGGTAAAAAAATCTTTAACTGAAGGACCGAGCTCTAAAGCATATTCTACTGGGAGAATAGAAGGTTTTGGTTTAGCTCGAACGAAATCACTCAAGAATGAGAGTTTGAAACCTCTTGCAACTGGTGCAGAAATTGTAGGCAGTGTAAAGTCGAAATCTGCATCATCCATATCTCTCTCCTCTGAAGGATCGGCTCATAAAACATCGTCGAATGAAGGAATCTTTTTAAAACCATCGTGTGAAACTGGATCTGATGAAAATATGCCTTCCAGTGAGGTATGTTTATCGAAATCGTCATCAAACGAGGAAACCTTATCGAAAGCTCCATCCTTGCAAGTATCATGTTCCAAGCACTCATTTGATTCATCTGTTCGCAGACTTCCACCTCCAGTTCCCAAGAGCGACGGCAATACACAGTGTATCAAGGCTTCCTCTTCCTTACATTCCCTCAACAAATTCTCTGCTGCCAATAAAGACTTTCGTAAGTCCGCTCTTAATGTGGAACTTCCCAGTGCTCTGCAGGCAGAATCATTCAAAAAATTGCAAGAAAACCAAAGGCGTGCCAGTACGTCTGAAAGAAAGTTTAGGAGAAGTAATTCGGCGAGCTCTGGTGATTCTGATCGATCTTATGGTGAAGGGGGTTCCACGCACTCACTGCCGATTGAAGCCGACAGTGCTCAAACCTCATTAAGGACATCAAAATCGCTGTCCAAACTCTACTCTAGTAGTTCTGCACCGAAACTCGATTCAGAAGCCCCTGATAAGAATGTAATTCTTCCTAATTTTAATAGTCCAGACAAGACTAAATCAACTCCCCATTCAGAAAGACATTCTCGTGGGTCACCATGCTCTCGGACTGGTAAACAAGCACCTGAATTTTCCGACTCTGACTCTGAAACAAGATCCACCGAAACGTCCTCTTCCTCCAGAAGCAGCAGCGGTGATGAAGATGACGAGGGACGTGCCACAAAACGTCAGAATTCCAGAAACCTCCAACATCAGCAAACATCAATCAGTCCAGCCCCAAAAGTTTCTTCTAGTGACGAATTGTCCAAATCTGTAGATAAGCCACCCAAGCCTCCAGTCAGTCCAAAGGCACATAAAACAGAGGAGTCAAAATCATTCCTGATGCGGGCTCTTGCCCCTGTCGCAAATTTGTTTAAAGGGAAGCATGACAGTAACAATTCAGAAGGACTTCTGAGAAGTGATAGCACGCCGTTGTTGAACAAGTGTGACAAAGATGATGTGGTTTTGAAAAAACTGAGTGCAGTGGATAGATCTAACTCTCAACAAAGCGTCTCATCCAGAAAACAGAGTACCGGAAGTGGGTCTAAGTCTCATGATGATAGTGACAGCAGCAAGTTTAATCTTAAAAATAAGATCAGAAAGCAGGAATCAGGAGAGCGAGCTTGGTGGTTGGATAGTAACCCAAACATTCCTGAGGGTATCAGAAGAATTGAGAGCAGTACCTCATTTAAGAACTTTAAAGACGCGGATGTAGACAGCAGCAAGACAGATGGTGTAAAGGACGCCTCCAGCAATTGTTCTGTAGACAATTTACAGGACTCATGTAGTGGAGGAAATGGGGTGATCCAGCAGTCCGAAGAGCTGTCTTTGCGGGGGGCAAAGACGTTACAAAATAGCGCTTCTCCAAAAACACTTCACGGAGGCGAGAAAGTGGAGGCAAACACCGAAAAGTCTGCAGGCGTGCAGAAAACATCCAGTGGTGTGTTCCTACATAAGAACAAAGATTCAGAAAGTGATGATGTCAGGCCTTCTGTGGGAGTAGTCAAATCGAAGGGAAAATTTCACAGTCTCAGACATCAGCAGTCTGGAGAGTTGCCGTGGTGGCTTGACAGCAGTGCGCCTGTTCCTGAGGGCGTTAAGAGGATTCAGAGTAATACTTCTGTAAACAAACTCCACGATTCTGACGCAGAAGTAGAAGGCTCTGAGGTCAAGAAAACTGAAAAGTCCGATGGACTTCAGAAAACCCCAAGCAGCATATCTCTAAGAAAGGGCATCAGTTCAGATCGTGATGCTGGAAAGCCGCCTGTGGGAGATGAGAAGACAAATACAAGACTTTACAGACTCCGGCATCAACAGTCGGGGGAGCTTCCATGGTGGCTGGACAACAATGCTCCGATCCCGGAGGGAGTTCAACGTATTCAGAGCAATTCTTCAATTAATAAGCTCCAGGACTCTGGCGGAGAAAAGAGTTCAGATGGAATTCAGAGAATAAAAAGCAGTGCATCAGTAAACAAGCTGCAGGACTCTGATGGTGATGGTGGAACAACAAACGGGGTACAGAGAATACGAAGTAATTCGTCGGTAAATAAATTACAAAGTTCAGATTCGGATAGCAAGAAGTCAGGTGAAGGAGAGAAGGTTAAGAAAAAAATATACAAAATTAAGCGTCAGGAATCGGGCGAGACGTCCGAGTGGTCACAGTCTGAGGGAGTTCAGAGGGTAAAGAGTAGCCATTCTGTTAATAAAATGCAAGAGCCAGAACAGAGAGAGGAAGAGTGTAACACCAGGGGTTTCCCATACAAGTTGAGGCATCAGGAGTCTGGAGAGAAGGCTTGGTGGTTGAATAGCAGGGCAGATGTCCCAGAAGGGGTTAAGAGATTTGACAGCAACCAATCTCTCAGTGAATACCTCCGGCCAGGGTTAGAAAAGCAAAACAAAAAACCAGAAAGTTCTTCAAGCGACAGTTCTGAGGAAGATGTCTCTGATGGAAATAACAGGCACAAACAGAAGACGTCTGATAATGCAGTGCCTAAATTCCCACTAGTACTTCCTGCTACAGGTTCGCAGAGTGACAGCTTGCAGTCCACGCAGGAGACTGGTAGACGGTCACCTTACGATAACCTTCAGGAACCACAGCTGAAGGCTACTAAGAGTCAGGCCACTAAACCGAGACCCAAGAATTTACCCCTGTTTATTGGCAGTCACACCAACATTGACGATATCTTGGGCACTGCTGCCACTCTGGTCAACCCTGTCATGGGACTGTCAAGACTTCGCAGAAAGCACCAGAATCGGCGAACAGCATCTCCGCGCGAGGAAGGTAACGTAAAATTAATAATTATAAATTTGCCTGTCTGACAGTTTTTAAGAGGACTGATTGAGAAATGGGAGCGGCTGGTCTATTCACTTTGCTTCATTGTCACTTCGTGTCACCTTTAGCAGTTGTAATTTTGTGACAAAAAGTAAAGTTTGTCCCACTATACGCCATGTAGGCGTTTGGGGTGAGTGGAGGTATAGCTCCTCTCTTCCTTGACCTCGGCACTAGATGGGGGTGAGTGGTCAGCATCACGCCCCGGCCGGCTTTCCCCCCGGGAAAGGACCCCGGTACCCATTGTAGAGGAGGCTGGGTGGGCCCCAGAGCCGGTCTGGACGCAGAGGCTAGAGGAAAAAAATTCTCTGCCCCCGTCGGGGATCGAACCCCGGTAGTCTAGCCCGTACCTAGTCACTATACTGACTGAGCTATCCCGGTTCTGTAATTTTGTGGCAGGTTGAAGGAAAAAAAAGGATAACATTATTCTACATAATAATATACCCCCAAAAAATATTGATACAGATTTGTAAATGTTGAAGAATTTGTTGATTCTGTCGCTCTAGTGATTCGTGGTTGAATGCTGCATGTGAATCGTAGGGCAGTGGAAATCGAGCATGAGAGATGACGCCAGCGTCATAGTGTAAGATGGTATCTCGGGGTATATATTCAGTCAAACGTAAAAAAAAAAAAGAACAATCGAAGGTCAACACAGTAGTTTCCGATATTCCATCCCGAAGTTGGTGGCGATGTTGCCTTGACAAAAGCACGCTGATGCCACAGTAAGAACTGAAGAAATCTCAGTTAAGTACAATTACGTATGTCATGCTATGATGACCGTTTGTGATTACTGAATACGTTTTCCATCTGCAATTAAGAGAGAAAGAAATCCACTTCATATGTACGTGTAGTCTGTCCGGATATAAGACACGGATAATCACACCGTGGCGGCTCAGCAGTTAATGATCAGAAACAGGGACGGTTCCTATAAGGTGTTCAGAAATATGTTCTCCTGTCGCGTAGAACAGTTCACATATTTTATTTACATTCGCCCAAGAAATATTCCGTCCATAACCCCCTGCCCATAAGTCTTCTCTGTATCTTGGTGAGTAGACACAGCTGTATCATAATCACAGGGTGCCCGACTAGGCCTATAGGGCTTATAGATTACAAAAAAAGGATTTTCAAGTGCAAACTTCAAGGAAAGTGGGACCTGGGAAGACCGTGAACGACATGGTTTGAACAATTTGTGTAACCTTGGAGAGGATCTAATGGGCCGGTGAATGCGTTAAAGAGAGGTGGACCACCCGGTCGTACCTCTGTTTACGACGAGGATGACTTGCTTGCTGGATACGTGAGCTACTGCCAAGGGGAAGCAGATAGCCAGCCAGATACCATCAACGCAACTTGAAGAATGGCCCACTTGAATACAATAGGTGAAGATGAGAAATATGTCTGTATAGAGTAGTCAGCCACAGATGGGAAAAAAAACAAAAAAAAAACATTCGGCCTACGCCCCTACCGACAGTACGCCGTGTCTTACTTCAACGTGAGAAATGCGTGCGCAGGACTACCAACCTACGTAACGTAGTGATCATTTAGTCGCATAAAAAACTACTTTCTCCTGCAGATAATTACTCTCTCATTTAATGGAAGACAAATTGTCGCTCTGAACGCAACTGTCTCTTTCAAAATGTCGCTACTGGTCGTGACCATGGTCATATCCGTTGGTCTTCTGAAACAAGGGGAGTAACTATTGAAGTAATACATCCAGAACAAGGTCTACGAGCAAATGACAGCAGGATTGTGTAACGGCAACACTTTTACAGACTTGTACTTACGATATAATATCGCCAGGTTATTGGCTGTTCTGAGTGAGATTTCGCGTGGTTTCCATGTTTTGCCATGCGCATGTCTGGATGGTATCTTCAGAGCGCAGGCAGGAACTTCCTCCTGCCAAAACTGCCTCTAGTAAGTGTTCTTGACAAGTTTCCAGGACGCACAGTCGGCGACCAGAGCATAAAGTTTACCGTTACCAATGTTTGTGGGGGGGACCCCTTCCTCATTCCATATTAAGGGTACCTGAAGGGGGCTGTTTACTCCCAGGGCAGTCCACGTGGGGCCAGCATCATTCATTTGCTCCATATCATGTATCAGCTGGGGGATGTACAATGGGACCGTCAACGGCCGAGGTCTGCCAGACAGTCTCATGCGATTGTAACAGTAATGATGATAAGGTTTCCTTGCGATTATCAAATTTGGCCGACCTCCAGGTCTGAGGCTAGCTCACCCAGGGGTCCTCTGCCCTCTGCCCCCCTTTTTAGTCTAATGACGAAACCAGAATTCAATTTGTGATACATCGTAAGCTGTATTTTATAGTTTTACAGTTCAGACCATGGACGAAGTCCAAAAGAACGGTTTAAAGCTAGAGGCTGTTGTTCCACAGCCACGCCAGTTTCTTTTTTATATAAGCCTTCCTTGTTAAAGATAGAGCCACCACCAAAGATGACATCACTTCATCATCCAAGTGGAAGGATAAGTCTTTGGGGGTGACTTGTTGGACGGGGGAACAATTGAAAGGCGCAAGATACAAGATTCCTCCCTCCTACTCCGGCGTCTGTGTCCGCGGTAAATGCCGCCAACTGAATGTCTTCGGTCGTGCCTTTGATACACAGAAAAAAAATAGCATTTGCACTTCACTGACAGAGAAATTTAAAGTGCGTCGCTGTTTTAACGCTATACTGTGTAGCAGATTATATCTCGTCGTCATCCACGTGTGTCGTATTATATAACAATGCTTTACGAACACAGCCTTCGGTTCTAGCACATGAATTCTTCGTGTGGTCAGAGCTTGCGGTTGAAGACCATTACGAAATCAAAGTAACGATAGGCGGTGGCAGTGGGTTAAGGTAAATGTGATCTCTGTTCCAAAAACATCCACTTTATGCGGACCATAACCAGCTGCCCCTCAGTAATGTATGTGGTGTTACATTTTCTTTTAACTCCTTAGGGGACAGTTCATGTCTACATTCTGTTTGCATATTTCATACAATTCCTTAGGGGACAGTTCGTGTCTACATTCTGTTTGCATATTTCATACCCAAAATCACAAAATTGATTTTATGTCAGATTTTATATTTTGTTGGGAAGGGCGGAGCACCGAATGTTGTGTGGCGAACTTGAATTCTGTGTATACCAGTCACTGATAACTCATATTTTAGAGTGAATGAAGCCTAAATTAAACTTTTTCGAATTTCTCAAGAACGGATTATCGTAAAACAAATGGCTTGTGTGGTAATGCACAGATTAAATTAAGACCTACAACCTCCATTTCAAATATTTATTTTTTCGTGTGATGAATATTTCATGAAGTACAAACACGACGGTTTGGCTGTTTGAGTTGTGATGTCTGAACCACCCTTACATTTAGCGGATTTAGCAAAAAAAAAACATGAAGAGTCCAATATAGAATAATATTTATGATGTAGAACTTTTAAAAAAAAATTGTATAGAATCATGTTGTTAACAGTTGCTACACTGATTGATCTGCATGTTTTAGATTCGGCCGCCGAATTATCGGACTTCGAGGAGGTGGACCCAGGCCAGGTTCGCATACACGAAAGGCCAACGACGACTTCGCAGATCCAGCGTCTCGGGTAAGTTCTGTGTTGACGATTAAGAAGTTGGTACCGATCTGAATTCCAGAAGCATCGTAGCACTTCTGAACTACCTGTTTATGTATTTTTTTACTAATACTTAATATCTTTCGTAATCTCCTTTCTTCGCGGATCACGCAGGGGCCACTGACAGCCCGCAGATCACACTTATGAAATCTCTGAGCTAATAATTTTGTTTCCTTTTGACTTCAGGGTCATCACAGATGGAACGGGAGTTCGACGTTCTTCAGGCATGATAAAGGTAAGTCTGCAGCAATAAGTAGTTCCAATAATTTTACTCATTCTACGGTAGTTATGATTTGAGGTTTTCACCGCGCGTGTCCGTAGATGGCTATCTTCTTGGTTCTAGCTTCGTGTAGTTTGGCAGCGGTCACCTCTGAAACGTCGGTAAACTTCTACTAAACTACACGGCGCAGAAATTCAAAAGACAGCCATATGATTAGTACAATTTCTAATAAAGTTCACGAAATTTCAAGGAACTAATTTCATTTAGGCCATAAATTAGCGGTCGGCAAGTCGACGAGAAAAGGTTAATGAGATCTCAGATCTTGAAAAGCAGAGAACCAGTGATTTAGACAGACTATAGACTCTTCTCCCCCACCCAGTCGCTAGCCAGATGTCTGATTGCCGAATAGCGCAGGGGAACTTGAATAAACCACCCTCGTCTCGCAAGAGACCGACGCTTACAGAAAGTATGCCAGTAATCGTTGTTTCAATGCTGGGCATCAGAAAGATTAAACTTAATCCCGCGTTGTTCCAAGAACTGATGTTTCAAGTTCTCACGGAGGAGATTATGAATTCTTCTCGGATTTGACGCCGTGCACTCTGGTAGAAATTGACATACGTTTAAGAGGTGCTTACTACCGCCATCAGAGGGGAGCCTTGATAATGGTGGCAGTAATTACCTCTGACACGTCGGTAAATTTCTACGAGAGTGCACGGTGCTACATCCCAGAAGACAGTTGTCTTCTTGTCTTCATTGGTCATGAAAAATGTGAGCCAGGAGAGATAGCTTCCTGCCCCAGAGTCGAAACCTTAGTCTCTGGAATATTGAGTCCCTTCCTGTTCAACCTTCTGGTACCGTGCATAACCTCAAGTTGATACTGTTTGTCTTCCTGATGGTAGCTAATTTGAAGCACATAAACTCTCTCGTTGTCATTCGCTTGACAGTCTTAACAAGTTCTGTAGGAAACTGTTAGTTGCTAACACACACGGGTAAAATAATACCGTGACCTTTTATTTATTTATGAAATATGGGAAGCAGTTGGGTGTGGTCTTAGAATTGCTTATTGTCTCTTGTACGTACAGGCATTTTCCAGCAGTGTTACAAACGTCACCACTTTCTCCTCATTAAAACTTCAAAAAATAATTCTATTTGCTCTTGAGGTTTTAATTCTGTGAACAGGTCTTTGTTCAGCGTATTTCATTATTATGGAAAAGTCATTTTCTTATAGTTCTTGAAATATTTCTGTAATGCCACTTCTTTGTATACATAAACGTCTTGTGTCTGAAGTGTATTGTCAACGGAGAATACACTAATTCCTAAGCCACACAAAGCTGCTGGCTCACTACGGAATCTTATCTATTCTCTCCTCTTTCAAGAAACTGTGTTCACAGGAACTGGCTGTTATGTCCATCGTAGTAGTTTGTCAGTCTGCCTGCAAGAAACATCTTCACAGAGATGAAATCTTTAAAATCTGGTAGTTTCTTAGCTGATCAGAAAAAAAAATTCCTTCTTTTATAGAATTTAATGATTCGCTAACGTGTTCACAAAATTCCGCCATCGGAGCCTATCCTGAGCCAGCTTTATCCACTGCACACCACATTGTTTCTATAAGATCCATTTTCACATTCTCATCATCTACGTTCAAGTCTCTGAAATAGGCTCTTCTCTCGGGGCTTTTCCGATGAATATCTGTGGCCATGTCTTAAGTCCTGCTTGCGTGCTAATTGTCCCTTGCCATCTCATTTTCTTTGAGATAATCACCCAAATGATTCTGAGTAACAATCTGTAATTATTATGCGATCGCCCTGATGATGGAGGCAACAAGGACTCCCGAAACGTTTGTTAACTTTTATCAGACTAGACGACGGCGCTACGTTCTGGTTTTCACTATTATCATTATTATAAACTATAACTAATTCCTCATAGATATAAAAAATTTCAGTTTCAAAACTTTTTAAATGTAGATATAATGGTCATGACCTCATTACATTTTAAGTAGACCATGTTCTGTGCCATAAAACGATAAGGGCATCGTTCATAATTGTGGCCCTAATATCGACTGACATCATTAGAACAGTTGGCCAGTGGATCAGATGCTATCGGTTCGTTATCTCATTATCGATGTCTTGGTGGTCACGAGTTCATGAGTCCGCCTGCAACAATGACCCCATAGTGGAGCAGGTCATGCACGTTCTGCATTATTGGTTTGAACCACATCTGCTCAGTCCAGCTGCTTCTCCTAGTACAATGGATAACCATTCGCAGGGGTTTTCAAAACTCTTTCAAGTGTCGTTTTCCTCCAGCTATGTATGCATTACAAAGATTCATACGATTTCCCACCGTAATTAGCTCTGGTAATAAACATACCCACTTCTGGATCATCTGCCAAGAACGTATATGAACAGGTCCCAGTCCGAGAAAAGGATGGAAGGATCCTGTTCATATGGACCTGTCGTCAGACAGAACACTAAATAATAATAAGATGAGGTGGTCTAGCGATTAGAACGCTGGCCTTGTAATCCTGGGGGTCTCGGGTTCGATTCCCGGCGGTGCCCCAATTTATAACTTGTGTTGGGCAAGGCCGTGCTCTAGGCAACACGGAGTTTTCCTCCGGGGGCTTCCCCGGTTTCTCCGTGGCATCCCAACAATTACTCCATCCACACACAGAATCCTACGCTACACTTTACCTCCGCCTGCCTACCAACCTCACATACGAGGTGCGATCGGAAAGTTTCAAGACTGCGCGTATAAAAACCCGTACACTTATCTCAGGTATTAAATTCATC